GACGCGAGTAGACCTCATGTCCACCTCATGCTACCACCGAGTCCAATCGAAATCAGGTACACATTGCGCAGACGACTCTCCACTCTCCCGTCCTCTGTTCGTATCAAAAATAAAATTTCAACTTATATTTAAAAAAAAACATTTAACTACGGTATGACTACAGCAGTCATTTAAACATATTTTTTGTCACGAACGCTATTACGTAATAAAGCGCAAACTCCATCCGCTCGATTGCAGTGTCTGTTGACAGGAACTTAAAAGAACTTCGTTTCCTGTCCTATTGAACTACAAAACACAAAATCGCGGACATGTTTATCCCCCGTTTTTTGTGAGCGACTGGCAATGCTGCCTGCCTGTCTAGTTATTGATTAAGACGACTTGCAATTGCCCCTTATATTCCTACAAATAAGCGTTCCAAGCCTCTAACTTTGCCCAATCTTTGGGCGAAAAAGCACTAACCTTCAAGTTTTCCAACTCTCTTTATTACCTCATGCAGTCTACGAACGCGCCCTCTCCGTCAGTCTCGAAGAATTCGAAAAGACCATCGACATCGCACTCACGTAAGTTTCCTTTGTGCCATTCTTGCGTTCTTCCGAAAATTGCTCTCTCTCTCTCTCTCTCTTCCGCGGTTTAATGAAAGTTTTCCAGGCCTAAACTATTGACGTTCCTTCTGTTTAAATGACTCTCATTCTCTTCACAGGCACCTCCGGAAATGGTGTTGTTAGAAGGTCACGTCGGAGTTATTTGCGAAAGGCAAAAACTCCCGACAGCGACTCTTTGTCGCCGATTCCCGTCGAGCCCAACACCACCCTTGACCGGCTGCTTAACGACTCCTCACGTAAGTTCTCAATTTGCACTCACTCACTCACCCAATTCCTTGCAGTTTTTGCCAGACCTTCTGATTGGTCAACTTCACCTGCCGCCGACGACACTTCAGCGAGCGAGGCAGTTGATCGGTCTCAAATCGGTAGACAGGTACGCAAGTGCCTGCTCGGTTGGGAGAGGCCGGAGGACAGTATATTCGTCCCTCTGAGTAAGTGCGCAGCTC